TTTTAGATTTGGCAATGCGTGTACTCAATTTAATTCAATTTTAAGCACAAGAGATTCTCCTTGAAAAGTAAATGGTACTCAAATTATTTATTTTCACTAGATTTAGATTTCAGGTTTACCTATATACAAATAGCGATATTAATATAGACGCTTAAAGAATAGGGAGAATCTGTTAAGCTAAGGTAACTTTCATCTTTTGTAATGATATTGTAATGATATTATCGGTGAATTTGTCACGTGGTAGGTATTGATTTACTGGCTTTTAATGGTTAAGTGACAATTTGCTTTGGATTCCAGAGCAAAATAGGTGAATTTGTATTTAACATAAATGGTTTGTTAGAGGATTGGATAAATTTCTGTTGACACAACACTCTGATTGCCAATCGCAGTGAGTTAAAGTATCGATGGCGGTGGATGGATTTTTTAGGGTTTTCCTCGCCTGTATTTGAGCTCGGAGAGCCACGGCAAGTAATAATATAGAATCATCCTTCCCAGCTCTTTAGATCTTCATATTATCATTATTATTATACAACTGCTCTTAGGTTGATTTATCTCGATTTCTATGCTGAAACTGAAACCTTCTTACCTTTCTTCTTATCCATTTCTATAATTATATCCTCTACGCTCTTTTTCGGTTCGTTCTGATTACATATCCTTGCCAGTTTAGTTGTTTTCCTTTTATTTTTTGTATTCGCTCCGTGCGTGACAACAGCGCCAATTAATGTATGTACTAATGGACGATGTTTGCGTATACTGACAATACAAATTTTAATAGAATTCGTAATTAAAAAGTATTTATGTTGAAATTTAATAGGAGTATATGGATTTGTAAAAACAAGTGAAAACATTAATTTATAAATATTATTATTATTATATATATTTTTATCGCTTCAACTAAACCAAAGTAGGTATAATAAATAAAAATTAGTAATAAAACAAAGGCAGGCAACAGTATTTACGAGAAAATGTATGAGAAGTTGCCTAAATCTAATAAGTTGTCTTTGAAGAATTAACCTATTCTGTCAAATTAAAAAAAAATAGCATTAAACAATAGCGTGAAGTTAAAATGTATAAATAAAAGGATTGTTATTTATATATTCATTTTTGTTTGAAAAAAAAAAGAATGATTGATTAAAATTGGTTTCCTATCAGTAAGTCACAAAATTGCATTCCAGCCACATACAAAAATCAAAGGCAGAAATCTAGTCCTTACTGAACATTTAAGATTAAAGGGCTATTTAAGAACATCGTAAAATGATAATTTATTGTTTATTAAAAACTTTCAAGTTTCTGATGCGTACTATTTCCAGTATTACTGTAATTATTACAAAAATAAAGGTAATTTTTCTTCTTATTGTACAACTATCCATTTATTTCTTTGATTTAATTTCCACTTTGCTACTGAAAATTTTTATATTTTTTTTGCTAGCATTTTTACAATTTACAACACAACAACTCCGGTTGCTTACTCTATTGTTTTAACCTATTTTTTCAAAAAAAAATGCATACGTGTATTTGATACGTCAAAATTACAAAATATCGCCCTAAAGTACTCGAATTGTCCGCAGCTTGCGCTAGTATCGCCTTTGCTTCTAGTCATATATTTCTTAGATATTCCATTTAAGTAGTTACCTTTTTTTTATTATTATTTTTCAAGAAAATACCTTATTTCCAACCTATAAAAAAAAGCGGTGAAATGTGGGAAATAAAATGATTCTCAAATAACAAATTTTATCACCAACCGTCAATAAAGCCATGCATTACCATAGCGATTTGCAGAAGTAAACAAACACTTTATCTCACTGTAAAAATCAAATATTTTATCTGTCGCTAATATTTATCAACATAGCCATGACAGTCTGACAGAAATAGTCTGTAAGTATTCGCTGTTATTTTTCTGTTTGTTACTTTGTCATACTTAAACTTAATGTTATAATATCTCATTCTCTATTAATTATAATTATTTACGGTTGGCGATAAAAGTTTGTATGGACCACGTCAGAATAGTGTCTTTATCGAACTCGCCTCTTACTCGCCTCACTCGCTTCTCTCTCTCAGCTTATAATATTAGTGTAGTTCGATAAAGAATCACTTTGTTGACTTGGTACCAAAAAAACTGTTATTTCTACAACATGGCCTTACTTACAGCAAACAGGTACCTAAGACGAACTAAATATCTTAACTAAGAACACACTGTATTAAATATCTAACCTAACTTATTATAAAATTCTGGTTGTCGAAACCCATCGTGTACAATTTACGATAGAATGTCTTTTAACCTAAATTTGCGACCTGAACTATCCTTAGTATTAGGTTTCCTAGAGCTTCGTAGTACCTTTGGATTGCTAGCTCTTTCCATCAGGGCCGCAGAGAGCCATAGTGAGGCCCCGGGGCAAAAACACTGGCAAGGGCCCCTTATATAATGGTATTTATTACATGACATGTATTTTTTGAAAGGTCCTCCCTTTTGTATCGAACTTTAAAAAAAGACCCCAGCTGCTAAAGCTGTCGGGCCCCCCTTGTGCCCGGGCCCCGGAGATTTTGCCCCCCCCCCTCCTCTTGTCGGGCCTGCTTTCCATAGAAACCTTTCACCGAAGTAGGAAATATATGCTTTCTAGCTTCCCTTAACAAGACCACATAAACTAAGGAAATAACATAAATTAAACTTTATTCTATAATTTTAACACAAACTTACCGTGATCTCAATTCAAGGATACTTTACAAGGAATCTTGTGGAATAAACGTGGATAACGGTTACAATTTCTGTTAGTCTCACATTTTCATCTCTAAACTAACTTACTAAGCAGATAATATTCTTCTATCTAATACAGGATGGTAGTTAGTATGTATATTGTTAATTTAAATTGTACCGTTTCATCAACCCACCAGCTTATTGTATAAAATCTCAATTTTTTGTAAAATATTTTTAAATCAGTTTCATCTCCCACGCATAGGTTGTAGGTGGATTGATTATTGCCTTATAATCTTTTAATTATACATTTTCTTGTTTCTCTTTTTCTTTATAATTCTAAGTTCTTAATTTTATTCATAATTTCTAGATATGCTGCTCCATCTTGTATTATATTTTTCATATTACTTTTCAATTCTTGTCTCTTGATATTTATATATCTGTTATTTTTCTTCTATTATTTATATAATTTGTATTATTGTACGCTTCTTATGTATATTAACATTCATTTAACATCAATTTTCTACTGCTTCTGTCGATAGCTTATCGTTCTTTGTCTATACTATCCTATAAAAAACTTTAATTTATCCATCCTGGATACTAATTTAAAATATGTAAGTTCTCAAAAACATGCCATAGCATAAATTCTATTAAATAGCTGCCAACAAACTAAGACACGTAGACAATTGCCTTTATAAAAGAGAGCAATATTTTATCTACACTACATTTATTTCTAGGTATGTAGACAGGAAACTATAAGATATTTTGAACAATACAAGTTATCGAGCTTTTGGTTGGCATAAAGGAGCCAATCGACAATGCACAGACACATTCCAAGTATAGTGATATTGAATTTTTGGTCGATAAACTTCCTAATATTTGTGAAAATAAGCTAAAGTTACATATATCGACATTTTGTTTTGTTGTTTTTAAGGATATGGCTCAGTAATAAGGCGTGAGCTTCAGTTGGTCATGTAATAAATGACTTATGTCGGAGCTTACATTAGATACTTGTCTATAGACCATGATTCGAAGCGTATGTAGTTACCTCATGACATTTCACATCTCTGTTGTTGTCGACGTTCTTTAAATAATAAATCTAAGATTCGATATCATATAGGTCTCAGAATAAGCAAAGGACATCGTTAGATGCTTCGAAAGGTTACTGTGTCACGCATGAGTGATCTTACCATGGAGGTAGAAGGTCTAAGATCGGTTCACATTCGCCATATTGGGTTCACGAATCCTTCAAACAGCTAATCGTGGTTTTAATCAACGTTTTTTCTATTTTTATATCGTTTGCAAACTAAATATATTGTACCTATATATTAAAAGTTAAACAATGGTTGCTTGTGCTCAACGGATTTGTAACAATCTAATAGATATTCATACGAAGAATTTATCAGAAATAACATTCGACAACTAAGTATACAACATAGTAAACAATGTGCAGGGTCGTATTTGGAAAATTGAGATATTAATTGTGCTTTGAGTGAGATTGTTCCAACCGCATTAGGTTTTGTAAAGATGAATTATAAATAAGAGAATTTGCTGAAAAGGCTTATTTGTGCGCAGACCAGAAAGACCTACAAATATTTTTAGCAATAAAAAAATGAAAAAGTCCAAAGTATCCCTCTATGGATGTGTTAGACTTTTGTCTTTAATGTGAGCAAATAATAAAAAAGAAGCTGTTACTTTAAATTATCCAACTTATTTCAGCAGAATGTGTAATGTCCTCAGTGTTACAAGTCGTTTATAAATAAAAATATATTTGCAAATTGCATAGTTTTGATCAGCATCCCTTGTATAACCATAACCGTAATAGTACTATTAATTAAAGCTGCAGCTAACAAATATACAAATATTAGGATGTTTTTCCACTGTGATAGCATAATATATCACAAAAATAAAATTGTATTGTTTAATGGTCAATCATAATTTTTATATTTGTTATTTTGCCACAATATATTTTCTGTTAATACCTATACCTATTTAACAACTATTTAATTATTTTATGTTAGATCAGTCATGTCCCAGATAACTATGCACGACTCTGAATAAAATCGAAAAACAAGAAAAACAATCCAAACAAGAAGTTTTGTACGTTTTGGCATGCGTACGTTTTACCAAGACCTACTACAGAAAAAAAATTCTGGATCACTCCATATTATTACACACATTTTCATTCATACCTAGCATTATTGCCGTGTTATATTAATATTCAATATGTTCTTCTTAATTCTGCTTTTGATTAATTTTTGTTAGTTGGCCGTACAAAATTTAATAATTTTTATTTTTTTTAATGTTATAGATCGAAAGAGAAAAGGCTGATCTTAGTGTACAAGTAATTCAATTATCTGAACGCTTAGAAGAAGCTGAAGGTGGAGCTGAAAGCCAGGTAAGTTTCGTTAATTTTTCTTTTCGACCTGTTTGTATGCTTTTCAATAAAAAAGTCGTCACCTACTTAAAACGCAGGATGTAAGGATAAAAGAAAGGGAGATAGAATAGATAAAAAAGGAGCTGTAAATGATTTAAATTACCTAGAATAGTTTTATTGTGTTACAAAGCTAGCGGTGAAACAGAGCAAAATCATTAAATAATAAAGAAAACTCAAGAATGATAGTCTCACTAGGTATATTACTTTGTAAAAAGACCATTGCCTAAATTCACTGAGTATTTACTCAGACAGAAATAAGAGAACTACTAGATTAATCAATCGTAGACCTTAAAAGTAAACATATAAATCAGACTATCAAGACCAAGAAAATTTAAAGCACAAAGAAATCACCAGTAAATATCTAGCTTCAAAAGAGATAGCTATACTTTCTAATTTGTGGATAATATAAACTAAACCCTACAAATTGTTTTTTGGGTTAGGTTAGAAATAAATATGGCGATAATATACGCTTCCACTGCAACTCAATTGAATGTATGGTGACTAATGCCTAGATTGTAGTTCACCGTACAATCAAAAGCTTCTAGTAATGGCCATGGTTGAAGTAGGTGAGGCTTATTTAGAAGCGATATAGTTGGATGAATCTGAAGATCTAATATATAATTATTTCCAGGGCAGGTACATAATAAGCGCTCTGATAATTAATCTGTTTTTACATGAAAGGTTTGCCACAATAAACCTGAAAAGATCAAAGTAGAGAGACTCCTAACCCATGAAATTGCAATATTTTTCCAAAAATATTATTAAAATATCAATAGTTTAATTTTATATTGTTTGTAGGGACTCTCATTTGTTTTTCTTTTCTTATATTGATTGATTTACTATCAGCTGGTTAGTTTGGCACCTGCTTATTACATCAGTGCAACCTAATGAGGGCGGTTTTTTTTAAACTTTCAAAATACCAAAGAAGTAAAAATGAATTCCAGATCTCTAATATTTTTAATAAACAAAACTTTGAAATCCTGACTCAAGGAGAACGGTATTGAATTACAACGTCGTTGAATATACAGAAACAGAGGGGTACTTGGTATCTCACTACCAGTAGAAGTGCAACTGTGCGTCCAATCGTGGCATGCAGACAGCCTATGAAGCGGTTGTTTGGTGGCATGCCTTTGTATTACAGTAGCACTAAGAAGTATACCGACAGCCTCTATGGAAATCATTATAAACCTCCCACCCCTTGACCTAGTCATAAAGGGGGAGGTCAGAATGAGTGCATACAGACTGGAAATCTCCACCAACTGGAACCCACTGGGACATATAAAACATACCAGAATAACACATAAAGCAAATGACTCTATATTAAACATGGGATCAGATCACATGACACCCCTCCTAATCTTCAACAGACTCTTCCAGTTCAACTGCAACTGGAACGAGGTAAATAAGGAGATAGATAAATACTTGCTTAACGGTCTCGTATGGTATACAGATGGATCTAAAACTAGCAAGGGGACAGGCTCTGGCATACATGAAGTTAAACCCAAATGCGATATCATCGTCTCACTGGGAAAACATACCACTGTATTTCAAGGTGAAATACATGCAATTGAATTGTGTGTACGAGAGAATTTAAGAAGGAAGTACAAAAAACAAACCATCCTAATTCTCTCAGATAGCCAAGCAGCCTTAAATGCTCTTGATTCAAAACAGAATCAAGTCACAGCTTGTCTGGAACTGCCTTGGAATACTAAATGATCTGGAAACCCACAACAAGGTAAAACTAGCGTGGGTACCCGGGCACAAAGGTATCCAAGGAAATGGAAAGGCCAATGAACTCGCCAAAGAGGGATCAGATCTACCATTCACAAGACCCAAACCTGTATTTGGGATCAGCAAAACCTCTGCTCGACAGGCAGTGAACAGGTGGATAACCACAAAACACCAAAATTCACTGGCAACAGATAAGAGGAAACAGAATCAGTAAGCTCATGCTAAGGGGACCAAACCCACGCATGGCTACTAAGGAACTACAACTTGCAAGGCCTCAGATATCCACCATTGTGAGGTTACTAACGGGGCACTATTTGCTGAAACACCTTCATGTGATGGGATTACACAATGATCCCACTACGTGTAGATTCTACATGGAAGAGGAAGAAACCTCATACATTGTGATCTTCGAATGTGAAGCTCTCACTCAGCAACGTTTCATGCTTTTTGGCCTAGAATCGAAGAGAACGCCCCAGAAACACTTGGTAGGGAATTTATTAAAACTAACCAAAGAAACAAGACTCTTCCAAAGATAATACCGGAATACGGGGAAAGCAGGGAAATACAATAGACCCAAGAGGCCGCAGTGTTCTGGGCTAAACCTTACCCTACCTGCTTACAACCGACAAAGATAAAGATAAAAAAGACAGCCTATTCACGAGTTCCTTTCTTTATTCATCTCACGTCTAAATATGATTAAGCGACTCAACTTTACTTTGCTTGATGTGTCGTTTGCCGCACTGTATACAGTGTTGGCTATTGAACGCTTTCCAATACGCTTTTCTAATGTTAAAGTGAAAACTGCTTGAGTTAGCATTAGGGCGGACAGGGAACGAATAATATCAACGTTTTCATTTAAAACGGCCCAGCCGCGTGGGGACATATACCGTTGTGTGCCAGTCCGTTAAAAGTTGCAACGTTGATATTATTAATTTCCTACTCGCACTAATGCAAACTCGCTGTAATTTACACTTTGGCATTAGCAAATCGTAGTGGAATGCGTTCAATAGCCAATACTGTACAAGTATGTTTATTTAAGATAGAGTACGTACACAGCTTTAGCCAGAAGTCCATTTGAATATTTGTATTAGAGTAGTTATGAACTTATATTTGTTTAGTGTACTGACAGCCTACTTATCCATTCTGTAGTTCGTGAAAAGATACATCAATATCTATAAAAAATGTTCCTTGATTGTAGTAACATATTTCATTGAACTCAAGATTTACCCATTTACTTTTTTATTTTATAGGACTCGCCAAACTTCTGAGACATTTATATACCTACTTCACCAAATGTATTTTGAGCCATTTCTAATTAGTTTACGTCTTCGTCTTTCGTTTAAATTTTTTTCATAGATCTATAAATAAAGTTTTAACAAGGTCAATAGAGGTAATGAAAGATCAATTTCACAACAAAATCGTTTTATATACCAATAGAAATTAGGTGAACTCCCGCTGCTTTTAAAAACCAATCAATCAATGTTAATAAACGTTTATTTTAGTGGAGTAAACATAAACATTCATATATCTTTTATTTTGTTCTAGTTCGAAACGAACAAAAAACGCGACACAGAATTATTGAAACTTCGTAAACTCTTAGAAGATGTCCATTTAGAATCAGAAGAAACCGCAGCCATTTTGAAGAGGAAACACCAAGAAATTATAGTAGATTTCCAAGAACAGATTGACTCTTTAGCCAAAGCAAAATCAAGGTTAGTCAAGTAATATTTATGCCATATATTTTTTCTTTAGAATTTTAACTTACTGTAGTTTGAGTGTAGGGTACGATATATCATAGAGTTGCATTCGTCGCCATTTGGACCTATTCACTAATAAAGTCTATTGTCTTTTAGTTGCTAAATAAACAAAACATTTTCCTAAACACATTCTGATTCCTACTCCATGAGTCATAATAAAGCTTAACAGTTAAATATTACAAATTGGAGCTATAATATTGAAATGATTGTTTAATTTAAAAATAGTTTATTTATTAAAAACAGTTTATTTATAATTTATTTATAATGTACTAATTAATTTATTTAAAACTTAGGCACTATTATAACTCACGATTCTAATTTATTTATTGCAATTTATCTTTTCTATACAACACTTAAATTGAAAGTTCTCGTCTTCCGACAACTTCGCGCTATTTATATAAAGCCAGGTCTGCATTAGTAGTTTCTCGGCGATCTAGAACGTCCGGGAACTCCTTCTCTATGACTCAACCACCGCGCAGCGATCACTCGGGTAGCTTCTCGAACGAGTGCGGTTGTCTCTATATGGGCAGGGTCGGCTTTGCGCGACAAGATGTTTTATAATTTAACACTTCCTAAAAACGTTTAACTAGTATACCAGATTTACGCGATAATTAATTTAATTAATCTATAACATTCTAAAATGAATCTCAGTGGCACTGTTACGTCTTGAGAAATAGCATAACATTTTCGTGTAAGTAGTTTCTTCTGATCAACTGATTATAGGAATACTGTGCTATAATGCATTGTGAAAAGTAGATTCTGAAACTGTAGAAGCCTAATTATTTAAACACAATAAATAATATATAATAAATATTGTAAATAATTATCGTAGGTCATCTATGAGTTGGTTAACCTTGACCTAAAAGTATATGCGCATAACTGTTTCCCTAGTTTCCGTTTGCTACCTATTTTTATGACTCTATTCCTTTACTCAAATACTAGTATCCATATAATTTATGATAAAAATAATTGCTAGATTTAGGTCAGTTAATTATTATTCTAACACATGTATGCCGAATACATGGACCACTACGGTACCCCGGTGGAAGGTCCTGCTCCAGCGGCTCTGGAGTATCATCTCGTAAGAATGACATAGTCATATAAGGTAGGCGCGGCAAGGGTATGGTCTGTGGGCGCGGCGTACGCCACAACGTCCTTGATCACCAGATAATCTATAGGTTTTGCACTTATCAGTAATATCCCTCCACATAAATGTTATTTTAATTTTCTCCCTCTATTATTAGGTTTTCTAATTTATTATTAAGTCTTTTGCTACCTAATATTCCTATCTATTTTTGGATATTTCTTTTCTGCCGTCAAACGGTCTTCTATACGTTATTTAATTTTTCTTTGTCTCATTTTCTTTTTTTGAAATGTCTCTAATTTAAAAATTTCTTGAACCTTTGATATTATTCGTCTTCAGTTCTTCAATTCTTCTTCAACTCCACTGATATAATCACTACTTTATTTAATGTTCAAATTGTAATCCTGCTTATTAATTTGTTCTTTGTAAAAAGGTTGAGCTCTGCTTGAACCCTTTAATCAACCTCCACTTCAATTCATTTATGTCATTCGTGAATATACAATAAATATATTTAATGACAATAGTAAATGACTAAATGATTCCATTCTGTTATTTACTAATGAGTGATCCACAGAACATGTTTTTAATGTCATGTCATATCGTTCAATTCTTCTTCTTTTTAAGTGTTAGTTTTGATTTAATTCAAAGCCGTGCATAGTTATCATGGATATGACTCGTATATCTGTCTTTGTCGGTCATGACCTAATTTAGAAACTTTTTTGTGGGTCACTCTTTATTTTTAGCTTAAAAATTATATATTTACCATTAATCATGTGTTTGACATAGAATACCAACCTCAAAAAAATGTTGTTAGTCACTTGGAAACGATTGAAGGTTGAATTCCTTAATGTACAATAGTTTATTTATAAACACCATAAGTTTCTTATTGAAAAGCAATTGTCAACGACTACTGAATCAAACTAACATATTATATTTCATCGTTTATCTTCTTTCATTATTATGATATTGACTAAATGTAATTTGAAATATAGAAAGGTCAATATGAATTTCTGCTATTCATACCATTTAATGTTCCTCCTTGACGCACTAAGTCTCCCTTAATATTCAATATGTTATCCAATAGTATCCAAAAATCTCCTCTTTCATTCGTATTACGACTCGCAATAGCTACCTATTTATGAAACCAGTTACGAAATGCCTTGTTTTATGTAACGAAAACAAAAACAGTAAAGAATCGCCAGACATGCATATACAATTGTTGGGTAGGTGATACCCTTTCTCGCATAGACTTTGAGAATATTTTGTTGTTTCTTTAGAAATTATGCGTCTTTCAGGAGGATTTTGTAGAGTACAATTTTCATAATGTGTAAGAAAACAACAAATTGTCCTTAAAAAAAATCTCACCTCACGTGGTATTTGCAAAGATTATTTAACAATATAAACAGAACTTTTATAAACAATATTTGCTTTTTCCATCAGGTGATGTCGATTCTGTATTTAAAATGTATATTTTAATAACCAAAACGAATTTTGTCCATTTTTCGACTTTTTCTTGGCAAACTTTACATTGACATTTCGCATAAATCATTGATACGTTACTCTGGTAATGAATTGATGTTTCTAAATCCAATCGGGTTGAGTGAATACACTGCAGCATAGTGTTTTCAGATACATTTTGTGTTTTGGCATCTGTTGGGATAAAAGACGATTGTCATTGGTTGATGTACCTATTATAACTTTAAATAATCAAGTATCTTTCAGGATATACTTGGTCTACAGTAACAATTATTATAACAAAATACACAAAAGATTTTTCTACGATCACATGTTTTTAATAAATAATAGATATAAAAACTGAAAATTTGTCATAAGTAGTGTATAATGTGTTGCCTATATCTACGTTGAAATGAAAATAGCAGTTGATACTCTAATAGTATGAGAGCCCACTGCAAATTTCGACCGTCATCTGATAATGAAATGAAATATGCTCCAAAGGCATGTAACAACATTGTACTTTTCCAAATTTTACCTGTGCCAATCCCTATCCTGAGCAAAGTGGTTGAAAAAAAAAAAATTTATATTCAAAAAATCACATAAGACATGACAGCGACAATTCTGTTTTCCCTGAAAATTACAATCCTAATTTATTGTGAACCTAGCTTTTAAAAATGAATTATTAATATTTTTACCTACATTTTAAACCATGTTTATGTGTGAAAGGAAGAAGGATGATATTGTATAGACCATTTGCAGAGATAGTCAATAATAATTATAAACTCTTATTAGACAATTCTTTTAAACCATAATCATAGTAGTTTTTTGTCGTTTCTATGGCAACCTGTAAAAATAAATCACAACAATAGGCATACAAATAAATTTTTAAATCAGTAAAAATTGATTCATATTTTTAATGATTTTTACCTACTAATCGTGGATAGATGTTTTTGTTCGATGTTATGAGGAAAAAATTTTTCCCTTTAACGATATATATCAATATATATTTGAATGTTATTTTCTGTAAAACTTTAAGGGCAAACAAAATTAGCGCTGTCATGCGTTATGTGATTTTTTTTAAATAAAATAATTTTTTTTAAGCCACTTTGCTCACGATTGGGATTGGAACAGGTGCCATTTGGTAAAGTAGACTGTTTTTACATGCTTTTGGGGTATATTTCATTTCGTTATCAGATGACGGTAAAAATTTGCAGTGGGCTCTTGGGCTATAAGTCCATGTTACCTTGGATATTATAACAAAAAAACATATAACTACGTACAAATAACTTAAAATTTATTCATTAAAAAGAAATATCATTATATTATAGCTAATTAAAATTAAGCGAGAAACAAAGTTTCAATTTTATCGCTCGACGAGCGACAAAGCTGTTACATGCACCGTACACGTTTAATCCAGATTAAGGGTTTAATCGCGTTTAGTACCATTTTTAGTTATGCACCGTAATAACAATCATCTGATTTTATTCTAATCCGTCAATATCGGGGGATCAAATTATGTAATCGATATTTTCTTACGTCAAAAAGATGTAAATGTTTTGTCAGTATATTTGGAACTTTCTATTTGTGTTTCTTTTATTTTAATTATAATAAAAAGCGGAAATATAATACCAGCTTTTCTTAAAAGATGACAGAGATTCTAGACAAAATTACTAAAGAAGTGAATGTTTTCATACGATGGGCAACTCTCTCATTTTTAAGAGGTTTTTATGTCCTAACGTTATAGCATAATTATTTTTTTTAATTTATTTGACTTTTTTTTCACCCTGCGTAGAATTCGATATGCGTTTTACAGTGTGTTTACTGTTTTTATACATTTAAAAAATAGGGCTTCTCTCTTCAACGACCTCTTATCCTTTGACATACATTTTTCCTACTCAAATCTGAAGTTTCCTTCTTCTCTTTTATGTAAAATTTATAAAATTCCAGTGTTGCCAGATTACTAAACTCGATTATCTAATGCGTAGCCGGTGCATAGAAAATTATCACTTGTCATTTAAACGAGATTTGCAAATCTGGATTAGATTTTAAAACAGTGCATATGGGCGTTAATATCAGTTCGCCGAAAACGTCAGCTTTGTGGTTGAATTTCGAAACGCAAAAGCCTACTTTTTGCTCAAAATACACACAAGTTTTTTTCTACGATCACATTATTTTAAGAAATAGATATAAAAACTGAAAAATTTGTCACAAGTAGTGCATAATGTGTTGCCTATATCTACGTTATTCATGAAAAAAAAGTGATCATATTCAGAGTCAATGTTAACTTGGATAATAAAAGAAAAAACAATAAACTAGGTACAAATAACTTCAAAATCATTTATTAAAAAGAAATATTATAATATTATATCTAATTTAAATTAGGCGTGCGACAAAACTGTCAAGTTTTTCGCTCGGC